AAGCAGTTCAACATCATCTGAGATCTAGTGCGCGCTGGGACTGCTGCGCCTCTTCCTCCCATGCCTTCTGCAGAGATGGTGCTGGGGGGGACCAGCTTTTAAATGGTCTCCCCCTAGCACTAGCTCCTGCTTCAGCCCCTCCCCCCTTGCTCTCTCTGATACAGAGGCAGCAAGGGTTGGGGCGGGGGGAGCAACAAGTGGAGTAGTAACTTGACTACCCAATAAGCCTGACTTTTCGGGTAGTCAACTAGTTGATTACACAGAGCCCAGGAACAGGGAGATCTGATGGTGGGACAGCGGCACTATAGGGGCACCGGCAACTCAGCTGGGAGCCTGGTGTTGGGGGAGGTGGAATGTGTGGATGAGCAGCATAGTGGGGAGTTCTGGCCCTAGCAGCTGTGGCGCTCCAATCCCAGTGGCAGCTGGTGAGCTCCAGCCCCAGCTGTGGAGCTCCAGGCCTGGTCTTGTTCTGGCTCCAGTGGCTGGGGAGTTCCAGCCCCAGTGGCATCCAGGAAGCTCCGGCTGCAGTGCTCTGGCTGTGGCGCTCTGACTCTGGCAGCAGTGAGTCTGGCAGCATCTGAAGAGCCATAGGGTCTGGGTCAACAGCAGGGGCAGGCTGGAGCCCTAGCCTGGTGGCAGCATGGGCCATGAGGAAGGGACCTTCCCTGATCCAGCAAATCCCCTTGTTCAGGACCAGTGAGGTCCTGAGGGTGCCAGACCAGTAAGGTCCAACCTGGATTCTATGTTTCTATCTCTAGGCTGCAGACTCTGTCTAAGAGGTCCATGAAAGTTTGTGAACAATGGTTTTCAACTTTAATCTATGTTTGAGATTTCCAAAGGGGCCTGCACGTCCATTCAAAATGTAGAGGTTCACAAATGGGGAAAAAAGGCTGAAAACCACTCATCTAGGCAGCAACACAGACACCAGTGCTATGTGAAGGCCAAGTTCAGCCCATCATTGCTTATAAACATAGTGAGTGTATGTGACTCTAAGTATTAGACTTGAATGAAAAACACAACCAGTGGGCTCTTTGTCACACAAATGGAGAATAGGGACCTTGACAGACACTTATTCATCAGTTCACTGTATTAGATTATGGTAAACATGTATTACTATAAGGCATGTTAACACACATCATCATCCCTGGAGCAGTTGGCAGAACCATCTGTTGTTATATTTATTGTTATGGCAGTGCTGAGGAGGCTGCCTTGAAAACACTTTTTTTTTCCCCCTGTCTCTTTTACAACTCCTTTCCTACGAGTTTACATTTTTATAGCCCCATTGCAGGTATTCATAGCTCTTTAAAAACAATTACTTAATCTTCCTAATATGTTCACCATATTACAGGTGAAGGAAAGTGAGGCACAGAAAGGCCTAGTGCTTTCCCCAGAGGTGTAAAAGAAGAATCACTGGAACTATATTAGTCCTTTTTCCTCCGCTCTTATTGACGATTGACAGTAGTACTCCCAATTTTGGATGCTATTGATATACCTGTGCTTTGAAGACATACTTAACTCATGTACTCAAAGAACTTGTTAATTCATTTTTACTCAGTGACAGGTGTGAAGAGAGAGATGTCTAATTTTTTCTCATACTCCTTTGTCTAATTCTGACACAGACATCTTTGTCTGTGTGCTATCAGTGTTTGGGAAAAGTGGTGAATGAAAGTTGTCTGCTGCATCAATCTCTTTCAAGGTTCAGTACAGTTTCATGAGGAAGTTAATGCAGAATTAAGTTTGTGGCAGAATTAACTACTGCAACTTCCTGCTTACAAAATGTCTATTAAACTAGAATGTAGAAAGTTTGTCATAGTCTAAAGATGATGAAATGATGTCTGTTCATATAAGGCATGACATTAAAACAGAACTTGAAAGAAAAATTCATCTTAAATTATAGTCTTGAGTTGAGTTGCTTTCTAGATTAAACTTTTCAAGGAGAAGTCTTAATGTCAATATGCAGGATGAAGAGATGCAGGAAACTGTAATGATAGTCCATATCCTGAGTTCAAATGTGTATATATTGAGTGCGGTATAGCAGTAAAACAGAGATAACAGTATCTTTTACTAGGTGGAATAAAGTTGAATCTCTAACACAGGAGAACATTTTCCAGACTGATAGCGAAGTATAAACAAGATTTAATATATAAGCATTTCTAGTTTAAAAAAAAAAAAAAAAAAAAAAAAAAAAAGCAATAGTCAGATGGCTTCAGTGTCATACAAGTTAAAGCCTATGGGTTTCATGTGAAAAAGGTTCCACATAATTCATTCCCTGTTTCTTTTAGTATTGTACCAAATGTTTTTAAAATGTTAACTGTGTTTAAGTTTTTGGGGTGATAATATGAAATTAATAAGGTTATTCAGAGGTCATGAGCAAACTCTGGGGGGGCCAGATTAAAAAAACCCACATTGTAGTGATTTTGGGGGGGTTATTTTTAAAAATAAGCATATGTGTTGTCAAACAATTGGCAGACTTTTAGATGTGTTGAATCGCATGCATTTCACACCCATGGCAATAAACTTTTAGTGCTCATCACTTTGGGCATTGAAGGTGTTAATGTGTTACTTGAACTTCAAATGTTGATTTTGCAAAGCATGGTGTAGTCAATAATGTGCTAGTACTGCTATTATATTGAGTATTATAACTTCTAGATTTTGAATTAGTTTACCATTGCATGCCTTAACTAAATATGTATTGGGATAAATCTTTTTACATAGTTCCAAAATAAGTAGTGAGATACTGAGCACTTTGACAATATGTGGGAAATATCTTGGAAATTATTCTTGAACAGTACGGGGTTCCATATTGTCAGTTTCCGCTTTTAGGACGCTACTAAAATTGTAAATAAAATTCTTCACAATCTACCCAATACATGTATCAGAGGGATAGTCATGTTAGTTTGGATCTGCATAAACAACGAGAAGTCCTGTGGCACCTTATACACGAACAGATTTATTGGAGCATAAGCTTTCATTGACACAAGAGATCTACTTTCTGGACACTGCAGTGCAAATAAGTGATGGTCACATAAACACCACCCTACACTGAAAACCTACTGACTGCTATGCTTACCTACATGCCTCCAGCTTCCATTCTGGACACACCACACGATCCATTGTCTACAGCCAAGCACTACAGTACAACCGCATTTGTTCAATCCCTCAGACAGAGATGAAACACCTACAAGATCTTCACCAAGCATTCTTAAAACTACAATATCTGCCCAAGGAATTGAGGAAACCGATGGACAGAGCCAGATGTGTACCCAGAATCCTCCTGTTACAAGACAAGCCCAACTAAGAAAATAACAGAACACCCCTGGCCATCACCTACAGTCCCCAGCTAAAACCTCACAGACCTTGGGAGGCAGGCCAGTCCTTGCGTACAGACAGCCCGCCAACATGAAGCAAATTCTCACCAGCAACTATACACCACAGTAACTCTAACCCAGGAACCTATCCCTGCAACAAACCTTGGTGCCAACTCTGCCCATGCATCTACACCAGCCACACCATCACGGGCTCATTCACCTGCACATGTACCAATGTAATACATGCCATCATATGCCAGCAATGCCCCTTTGCCATATACATTGACCAAACCAGACAGTCCCTACATAAAAGAATGAATGGACAGAAATCAGATATCAGGAATGGTAACATACAGAAACCTGTAGGAGAACACTTCTATCTCCCTGGACAGTTTAGGATTAAACAAACACTGTGACTGGCTAGTCAACTACAAAAGCAGTGTCTCCTCTTGGGGTGTTCACACCTCCACATTAGCTGCTAGAAGTGGGCCACATCCTCCCTGACTGAACTGACCTCTTTATTGCTGGCCTTCCTCTTGATTGGTACTCCTTTCTTTTCGTGTGCTTGGATATTTATACCTGCCTGCGGAATTTCCACTACATGCATCTGACGAAGTGGGTCTTTGCCCACAAAAGCTTATACTCCAATAAATCTGTTAGTCTATAAGGTGCCACAGGACTTTTCGTTGTTTACCCAATACATGCTAGTCAGAGAATAACCAGAGGCTAGTATGAGAGGAGAAGCTCAGAGGGAAGCTACCGAAGTTCAAGACAAACAGTACCCTGTTTGCTGCTGTGGGATAGTACTGAGGAGCAGATTTAATTTAGGTGGTTAATGGCTTGGTTGTTGCTCCTCAGCATAGCAACAGTGAAAACAGAGGAATGTGTTCTTCGTTTTACCCTTCTGAGAAGGTTAGGAACAGCCTTGCAGATACTGGAGCTGTGTGTCAGCTGCCTCAAAATGTTGGTTTTACTGGTTTCTGTATGAAAATTTATAGTCACATCCTTTTGGTCCTAAATTCTTCAAAAATTGAAAGATGAGACTGTCTCAGTTGTGAGAGTTGATTTTCCTCTTGCCCATGAGAGGGGAAGTTTTTTTTTTTTTTTTTAACCCTGGTAATTGCAAGTCACTATTTTTTGGTACACCTAGTACTCTAAACTTCAGAGTGTGTAGATTACTGCGAGTAGCCTACTTACTGCAATAAGCACGCTGTATTCATTCTCCACTATCCCCTTTGCTAGTTTTCTTTTTCTCTTAGAATGAATGTCAGAATTGTTCTTATTTTGTGCTCTCTAATACTCGTACCCACCTTTTTTTAGCTAGTTCTCAGATCTTAGTATAAGTCTTGCCTTCCTATCGCCCTATGGCTCTCCATAGTTGTTGGGAAGAAGAAAGAAAGTAATTTTCATCAATGTTGCTCTACCTTTCCATAGTTCCTTCTGTACGTATAAGACATAGAATCATTATGGCTCTTTTCAGCTTTGACAGTCAGCTATAAAATTTAAGATTGCAAGAACAATAAAGGGTACTATAGCTATGCATACATTTTTTCATTGCTGTATATTTAACACCCTATAACTTTGTTCATTTTTCTGTATTGCTGCATCTCACAATTCAAGTACTGCAAACCTGTAACTTTTATATTTTAGATGTTTTTTCACATGGTTGACTTTCTTTATTTCTTGTTTTAGGAACAAGTTCCCTTACAAGTGGAGGATGGGATACTTCTATCTGGGGATTAAACTCAAATATAGAACTTGAAAATCAGTCAATATCATCACCAACAGCAATCACCAAACCAGTTAGGAGGACTGTGGTGGATGAATCTGAGAATTTCTTCAGTGCCTTTCTCTCGCCAACAGATATTCAGAGTGTTCAGCAGAGTTCAGTAGTGTCTAAACCTCCAACCAAATCACAGCGACCCAAAGAAGAAGTAAAAAGCACTTTAAAGGAATCTCTGCACAGCAGTCAACTAGAAACACTAGCAGAAACAGAGACAAATGCAAAAAATTCCTTTGAATCTGTGCTAGTGGACTTGAAAAATCTTGATGTTCCCCACGAAAAATTAGAAGAAAGTTCTACACTCGAAACTGATGTTAAGCATGAGGAGAATGCAAACAAAGGCACTGAGAAGGTGGCTATTCCAGATCTCCAAGTTTCTGAAGTTGCTATTAATGCACAATCTCATGCAGGAAATGATGGATCAGGAAGCGCTTCTGACAGCCCTGCACAATCTCTTACTGCAGAGACAAAGGACATAGGTTTGGAAAGTAAGGAACAAAAAAATGAGGACAGACAAAGCAACACACCTTCACCTCCGGTTAGCACTTTTTCATCAGGAACATCCACAACTAGCGATATTGAAGTTTTGGATCATGAAAGTGTAATAAGTGAGAGCTCAGTAAGTTCAAGACAAGAGGCTACAGATTCAAAATCCGGTCTTCATCTTATGCAGACTTCCTTTCAGCTTTTATCAACATCTGCCTGTGCTGAGTATAATGACTTTCAGAAACTGACGGAGAGTTGCAGCTCCTCAGATGCTTTTGAAAGAATTGATTCCTTCAGTGTGCAGTCGTTAGATAGTCGAAGTGTAAGTGAAATCAATTCAGATGACGAATTGTCAGGCAGAGGTGGTGCTTCAGCATCTCTCACAGTTAGCCCTTTAACACCAAAGACTGAGATGGTTGACCCTGTAAATAGTAAATCTAAGGAAGAATTGAATGAGACACTCGTACATGCAGAGGAGGCTGAAATGGAAGAAAGTGGGAGAAGTGCAACCCCTGTTAACTCCGAGCAACCAGATGTTTTGGTTGCTGCTGTACAAACAGATAAAGGACAAACCCTCAAAGAGGAGGTTGTGATGCAGCATCAAGGTGCTGAAAAGCTGCCTAAAGAGAACTGTGAAAAGGAGGAGCTTTGCAAGGTAACAGTCTATATATTTTAGAAAAGCGTATCTGTCTCTGTTTCTGTCAGTCCATTTGTTCAAGAACTCCTCCTAAACGATAAGCACAAGGACCACCAAATTTGGTAGGCAGCTTCCTTTTATCCTAACTTAAAAGCAACACGAAGTTTTGGTTGTGTTAGGACAATGGGATGTGCCTGGAATTTGCTTTCTCATTAAAATGGAGAGAGAGGTGTCTGGTTGGAAGGGAGTTATATTGTGGAATTACCATAGGAGGGCAGCAAGCGCCCCAGTGGGAAGCCACTGGTTGGCAACAGCTGATACCCTGGCCTGCCTTGGGGAGCCGCTGCGTGGCCCCAGCTGCCCACAAACCAGCCCCGGGGCGTGCCAGCAGGAGGACTGTGCAGCCCCCAGATCATGCTCCCCACCACCACCACCCCCGACAGAGCCCACAGCTGGGATGCACAATACCTTGCCCTCTCTGTCCCCCATTTTGGGCTGACCCAGGGAAAAGCCAGGGGCCGGATTGTATGGCCTCACCTCCCGGCTGCATCTGGGCAACGCTGTAAATCTTCTATTACTATACATTACACAAGCGCAAAATATGCATTCTGTGGGCTAAATTCATCCCAGTTTTGAGTGAAACTGCACTCATCTTGACTTGTAGGCATTATCTTGGATCTGGACCAGATAAGTCCATAGGGTAAAATTCTGTACACATGCAAAATTCTTTGATCCTGCAGTATAAGGCTCCATTTTTTTTCCAGTGTGGATTGGTTTAAATAAAGGCAAGAAAATCATTCATTTAAATTTTCCCACTGATACTACTTCACATATTAAACAGTGGTACAAATCTGATCACTAAAACATGTTAACTACAAATCGATATAGCATTTTAGACTATCTAGGAAGGTGTAATTATTTTTAGGTAACTTGATTTTTATTAATTTAGGAAATAGTACATATAATGCTTATTATCTGTGTCAAGCAGATGCAGAAGCAGTACATTAGGATAAGAACTAAATCACACACAAATACAATAACAATTTAATCTTAAATGTTTCACTTTTACAGTTGCAACAGTCTCCTAAGTTGCTGGTTGATTGCGGTCCCTATTTTTTTTCAATTTTCAAATTTTAGTAATTCAGTCACATCATCACAACACTAAACGTATGGGGTTCTTAACACTTCTACAACTATTTATCATGTTCCCAACTCCCACTGTCATTTTGATTAGTACAGGTTGAATCTCTCTAATCCAGCACCCTTTGGACCTGACTGAGATGGAACCAGAGAATTTGCCGAACCACGTGAGGTTGTTTAGCAGCATTATCAACACTTCTATTGCTTACTGGGCTCTTAGAAGACAATTGGGGTAAATTAGAGCTAAATAATAGCAGAGAATACAGAGAGCCAGGACTGGTGGCTATAAACAAACTTGGCCACACACATTTTAAATGGACATCCAACTAACGAAAATCATGCCGGATCACATATGATGCCAGACTTGAAAGGTTAAACCTGTAAACTGAAACAGGTGTTTTCCTGCTTTTTAAACTCCTAGGTAATTTTCTTAGTTTTGAGTGAATAATGCCAGACAATGAAAGCATTCTCTCTGTGCCTGCAGAAGAATCTACTACAGGCAGTCCCCGGGTTACGTGGATCCGACTTGTCGGATCCCTACATACGAACGGGGCTTTTCTCGCCGCGGAGGACGCGGGCGGTGGGACTGCTGAGACGCGCTGCGGTCCCGCCGCCCGAGTCCTCCGCGGCTTTGCTCCGCATCTCCCTGGCCTGCTGAGAGGGT